GTGGCTAATTGCACAGCATCTCCCTCAAGCTGGTGAAGAAGAGAACAATGTAGATACCGAGCCCTAGCATCGGCTGTGCTTGAAAAGTGGAGCCCTGCAGTGCACCTCAGGAAGAGGCAGGCAGCTCCGAGATCCTCAGTTGTTTATCCTTACCTGAAAGTCATAATTTCTAATAGCAGAAGCTTACCTGTGCACAGGGACAGGTTGTTTATTAGTCTCATGTGACCGTGTCTCTTTAGGTAGCCTGCTAGAAAGAAACTAAATGCTGTTCAGGTCTTCTGCTGAAGGCTACTGCTGCCTGTAGTTCTGGGAGAATAAATATTCACTCTATCCTGCCTCCCTGCAATTCCTCTGAATAGCAGGATTTGCTGTAGTTCAGGCTGTGTTCTGTGTAGTCATAGTAAAACTCCCTTTTTCAGGTAGTCTGTGTTTTGCTTCTGCACTTTCAAAGTGCTAATGATGAGGGTCTTGTTAATTTTCAGGAATAATAATTATCCCAGAAGAACTTCAGAAACAACATGAGTGTGGGTAGAGGGGTTTCACTTAGAGCTTTATCTGTGTGAACAAAAGGCAGAATTCAGAGTCATTAGTTAAAACTCTGATGCTCCTGCCTGGCTTGCATTTAATTAGCCGATCTTTTGCTGTGATCATCATGGTTACAAAGGCCTGGCTAGAGCCAGCCACCTCTGACCAGCTTTTTATTTGTGTTTTGCAGTGACGAACCGGTGGCAGATATTGAAGGACACAGCATGAGAGTAGCACGTGTGATGTGGCACCCGTCTGGGAGGTTCCTGGGTACTACCTGGTATGGAGATGTGGTTATTTGCTGTAAGCTGTTGCTATTAGCTGTCTTGCTGGTAGCCCAGGGGGGCCACTGCTTGCCCGCAGAGGAGCCCAGCATGGACAAGGATTGACCATTCCTGGCAACAGCTGTGCTGTTGCAGTGTAAATAACAGCGTGCCATTGTGATTCCTTTCTCTGCCCCTTCTGTGAGACTCTGTTGGTCTCCAGTTGGAAATAAAACGCTCACAGAGTTAGTGAAATATCCTATTATTCTCTTTGGAGATACATTTAGTTGGACAAATGCTTTGTTTTTACAGCTACGATCACTCGTGGCGCTTGTGGGACTTGGAAGCTCAGGAAGAAATCCTCCATCAGGAGGGGCACAGCAAAGGGGTCTACGACATCGCCTTTCACACGGATGGGTCTCTCGCTGGCACGGGGTGAGTTTGCTTTGCGTCGGGACCGGATGTGGAATATGATCAAGGCTTTGTTGCTGACCAGCAGTTTCTGCTGGCGAGGCTGAGCATCCTCTGGCAGTCACTGAAGGCTCTGGTGGGTAACGCTTGGCTTCTCTCTTCCTAGCGGGCTGGATGCTTTTGGCCGGGTGTGGGACTTGCGCACAGGACGCTGTATCATGTTTCTAGAAGGGCACCTGAAGGAGATCTACGGCGTTAACTTCTCGCCAAATGGGTAAGCAGAGAACTTGCATGGTTTAGTTGGAAGCTTGGAGTACAAACCCCAGCTCACAGCACGTTCTTCCTCCCAAAACAAAAGAAATTCACTCAACAGTCAGAATCTAGTAGAACTGTTAAGCAGATATTCTTTATTAGCAGCGCTGGGGTTACCCTGGGGATTCTCCACCATGAGGGCTCCCTAGAACTAGCAAGGGACATCAGTTTACATACACACAAATCATACATATTCATTAGATTTCCTGGAAAAGGGTGTCTTATGATAACGAGTTCCCAGTATTCATTTACATAGTCTGAGCATGGCAGTAGAAATAGGGTGAGTGGTCGAGGGAACAAGTATGTGGTGGTCTTCATGGTGTCTGCTCTTTGCAGAGCATGTGCTGTGAAGTAAAGCCCAGATGTCGGTTTTTCCTAAATCATGGAGATCATCCTCCCTAGATGGTATATCCTCCCTAGATGGTATCTCTATGTCCTTTTCTTCGATTTCTCCTTATCTTGGTTTGCCCAAGTGCCCATTGAAGGCTTTGAGGCTGCTATCAGTGAGTTATGCAGGGAGTGTTTTACTTTTCTCTAGGCGGACAAAGAGGCCGAGGGAAAACAGTTGAGGAGCCCTTGGGAAACAAACACAAGCAAAACCTTCATGCATCACAGTTTAGTTTTAATCAGAAATTCATTGATTTGATCCCTTTCACGCTGCTCTTTGACAGATACCACGTTGCAACTGGCAGTGGTGACAACACTTGCAAGGTGTGGGACCTCCGCCAGAGGAAGTGCATCTACACCATTCCTGCCCATCAGAACCTGGTGACCGGGGTGAAATTTGAACGTAAGTACCTCCCGTCTGACATTCCTTATCCCTGCCTCCCCGGCGCCGAGGTGGCAGGAGATGGGGCAACTCAAAAACACATCTTCAGGTCAGGGAGGCCTGTACCAGTTAGCAGAGATTTGTCATGTTTTTACTTGCAGAGCTCACTTCTCCCTTTTTCTCCTCCTCTACTGCAGCCAATCACGGTAACTTCCTGCTCACAGGCGCTTACGACAACACCGCAAAGATCTGGACTCACCCCGGCTGGTCGCCTCTGAAGACGCTGGCTGGTCACGAGGGTAAGGTGATGGGACTGGACATCTCCCTGGACGGCCAGCTGATAGCCACCTGCTCCTATGACAGAACCTTCAAGTTGTGGACAGCGGAGTAGCCCAGAGGTGCTGCTGCTGAACTGGAATGGAGACGTTAACAGCTTTCAACTAAGACTTGCTATTTTTTATATTAGAGGCAAAAAAAAGGAATTGCCTATTGCATCATGCCTGGCGGCAGCTGCAGTCACTGGCCTGGGGTGGAGGTGGTTTTGAAGCACCTGTGTTTTCCAGGGCTTGGCTGAAGTCACATCTCGGGTGATGTTTTTCCACATTTTAGGACTTTGTTTTTATACTGCAGATACTGCTTTTGGCTGTAATTTGGAGATGACCCCCTGCTTCCACCTTCCCTTCCAAGTTAGGCTCACAGGTTTTCTCCAGTCTGTTTGATACATTTGTAGGAAGGCACACAGCACCTCAGGCATGATATGTTGTTCAGCCTCTGGTCATACCCTTCTTGCCTTCCATTTTCCAGGAGCCTTTGGTAGGAGTCAGAGGTTTCAAACTGGATTTGTTTAATGACAGAAAAACTAGCTGTAAAGAGTTATAGAACTGTAACTTTCCCACCTCTGCAAAGGTTGTCTCTGGATGTGGCGGTCTGCATCCCCTTTGTATTGACTCACAGTTGATGCTAAAGGCCAGGCAAATTTTTCTTTTCCATGAACCGTATTGTGTCCAGCTCCTTGGGTGCTCATGTACTGGGTGTTTCAAATCTATGCAGGCATGTCCTGGTTAAGGTTTTGCTGTCTCACCTGGGATAATACAGAGAAAGGTGTTTCAGGGTAGGGTTGTCTTGTTCTCACATTGTGGGGAGCTTTCTTATTTGTTTTTTATTCTTTGAGGTTTTTCAAGTGTTGTGTTCTGGAAAATCAAAACATGTTTTGACCTCTGTGTCTGACTGAAGAAGGGAGAGATTACAGGTACTTGACAGCAGGTAGTTTGATTTCTGTCTGCTGCTGTAAGAAATCTTCAGGAGAAGAGACGACTGATCCATCTCTACATTGTCAGCTGGGGAGCAGCTGTCTGTGCCCTGGGAGCATGAACACAGTTCTGTTCTCAGCACCTGCAGTGCCCTTGGAGATCATGTTCTAAGAAATAAAACCCAAACCCACTCGCAAGTTACTTTTCTTCTGGCAAAGTGTGGGCTTTCTCCTCTCACCTTGCATGGTGGGATCTGCCCTGTGCTGGGTGCTGGCTCTTCTTTATTCACAGGGACAAACTTAGCCCAGCAACTAACAAAAAATACTGAACTGCAGTCCCCTCAGAGGAGCCCTGGTCCCAGCTCTGCACTCAGGCTGATTCCTGACCCTCCGGCGCTGCCGGCTGAAGGGATTGTGGGCCGGGACAAACCCCCCTGGGGTGTTTCTCACCAGGTTGCCACTCACAGGACAATCCTGGCCCAGCAGGCTCACACATTTCTCTCTGGTTTAGGATGAAATTTTTGATGCCAGTTCTGTGTTTACGCTTGCGTTGTGCCTGGGGTGTAAGTTCCAGTGTGGGTTTCTGTCCGGTTCTGCTCAGTGGGAGCCAGGGGAAGGAGGCTGAGCATTCCCTGGCCCATGTCTGGAGGCTTTCAGCTCTGCCCCTTGGCTTACAGAATCATCCAGGTTGGAAAAGCCCTTGAAGCTCCTCCAGCCCAACCATGAACCTCACCCTGACCGTTCCCAACTTCCCCAGATCCCTCAGCACTGGGTCAACCCGACTCTTCAACCCCTCCAGGGATCCCAGGGACTCCCCCCCTGCCCTGGGCAGCCCATTCCAACGCCCAACAGCCCCTTCTGCAAAGAAATGCTTCCTAATATCTAGCCTAAACCTTCCCTTGGCAGCTTGAGGCCATTCCCTCTTATCCTGGTGCTGGCTCCTTGGCTCCAGAGACTCATCCCCCCTCTCTGCACCCTCCTGTCAGGGAGTTGCAGAGGGCCAGGAGGTCTCCCCTCAGCCTCCTCTTCTCCAGACTAAACCCCCCCAGTTCCCTCAGCTGCTCCCCATCAGACCTGTGCTCCAGACCCCGCGCCAGCTCCGTTGCCCTTCTCTGGCCACACTCGAGTCACTCAATGGCCTTTTTGGGGTGAGGGGCCCAAAACTGAACCCACTCATCGAGGGGCAGCCTCAGCAGTGCAGAGTATGGCAGTGAGATCCCTTCCATGTCCCTGTTGGCCATGCTATTGCTGATTGCTCCTTGCAGCTTATCTCCCCCTTCCCTCAGCCCCCATCGAGTGCAGGCAGCCTTCTGGTGGTTTTGTAAATAAAATGTACAAGACTCACTCAGGAGCAAGAACGTGGCCTGAATGCATCCATGAATTGGCTTTTCTTCTGCCCTGCCCACTGAGCACACATTGCTCTTCCACGGGGATCTACTTTTGTTTTGGGAGGTAAAAGTAGAGCACAGGCACCAACTCCCCCAGTGCTTGTGGTCAGGGGGACGCTCTCAGGGAGTTGTGTTCCCTCGCAGCACAGCCTCTGCTGGAAACGTTGCTGTGGTCAAAACACTGCCACCTCCTCCAGCACCAGGCCCGCGCCATCACTCATCTGGAGTACGTGAATTCCTGAGTTAAAACTGGCACAGAGCAGCGTGGAGCTGTCGCAGACAGCCAGCGAGGCCAGTGGTCCTGACCCCTCGAGGCACAAGGTGGCCAGGCAGGCTGGGGAGGGAAGAGAAGTCACTTGAGACACTTGGTTTGCTGAGGTGAGACACGAACACACCAACCTCTCACCTCCCAGCTCTGCCCACATGTGTCCATCCGCTCGCCTGAGGCAGGTGAGTGGCACCCCTCGCTGTCCCGGGTCCCCACGTCCAAAGGCATCGGGACGTGCCCTCTGGAAGTGAGCCTCTACCCCCGTAAGCCCCGTGGGGGGTCTGTGTGTTGCCCAGTTGGGCAGTGGCCAGCTAATGGGGTCCAGGTTGAGGTCAGGCTCTGCCCCTTCCCTGGAGTGGAAGCAGGGATGGATGGACAGACAGACTCCACTGAGCAGAGCTGCAGGGCTTGCATGGAGGCATTCCCAACGTGCCTTTTTCTCCAAAATTGCTTATGGTCCAGAAAAATTTTTCCTAAGGTCTGTGCTACACTCAATGTGCAGTTTTGATAAGCCTCCAAAAGGGAAAGAGAAGTAAGATTTATGCTATCTAGTGTCACATCAGCCCTTCTGTTTATGCCCATTATTTAAGAATCCCTGAGACAGTATTTGTGCAGAGCCACCAACCCCATGCTGAGCTGCTAACAAGAGTGGTTTGGCAGGGCCCTACAGCAGTAATTTACACCCTTCCAAGGGCAGCTGGATTGAGGCTGCGGAGGTCACCCAGTGGTGAAAGCAACAGGACCAAAACAAAGCTGCTGCCAACCCTGACACCATCTCGGTGTGCACAGGCACCAGAGTGAACGAAGAGGTGAATGAAACGGAAGGTGAGAGCTCTTCTGTGGGAGATCATCAGGTTTCTATTTTCAACATTTGGAGAGGTGCTTAGCCTTGGGGACCATCTAATGCTGATGACTTCTACTGAATTTGGTGCATGTCTGTGAACTTGAAGGGCTTCCCAAGAGGTCTCTGCCTTCTGCTCAAGGCGTACAAACAAACCTGCTGCTATGGCAGCGCTTTGCAGGTAAACAGCCTTTGTGTCCGGCTCAGCCCTCACCAAGTCCTCCAGCAAGCAGGGTTAACCCTGAAATGCCCACGATTCCTCACAAAAGTGAGGGCAGCTGCTGACCAGCCCTCTATCCTCCAGAAAAACTTCTTCACAACTTTCCACTCGTATCTGTGGAGCACCCTGGAGTTCCCCTGTTCTTTTTTTTTTTATCATTTGTCCTTTCATTGCTGAACTTGGATGTATCTTTAAAAGCCATCTCATCATTGCTTTCTTTTAGTTTAGGAAGGACATTTGTCATCTCTGATGTCATGCACCCAACCCACCTCCTTCACTGGTGGGCAAGCAGAAGGCCCTGGCTTTGTGCTGGAGGATATATCCACCCTGCCCTGCAGCTGGATCAGAGTGAAGCCCAGAGATTTCAGGCTTCATTGTGCCCATCACCACCCGCAACAGAAACAAAGGAAGCAGTTTTTTTATCCCCTGAACCCTGAGTGGGCAGGACCCTCCCCTACCTCCAGTGTCTCGGTCCCAGACCTTCACTGTGCTGTCGTACGAGGATGTGGCAATGCTGGGGGCGAGAGCTGGGCCCCATGGAAGGAAGACACATGAGGTCGTGGTCTGGAAATGCCCTTTATACTCACACACTCGGCTCCTCGTCTGCCGTAGGTCCCACAGCTGCAAGGCAACAGGCAGCATTTAGAGCTCAGGCTCTGTTACTGTCTCTTGCCAACATGGAGCTGTTTTACAAAGTCAGGAAGATAGTTTGGGATAAAAAGCTCCTCACCAATCCTCAGAGTACAATGTCTGTTGCCTTTGTCCACTGCTTATTCTCAGTCCTGGAGGACTTTAAACCCCAAAGGGTTTTCACTGTCGGTGACTATTTGAGCATGTGCCCACACCCATTAGAGCTGACAGGCTAAAACTGTGAGGGCAGGTAACCATGTCTCCAGCCTGCTCCCGTCCTCAGCCGGGCTCTCCCTGGGATGGGATGGTCATATCCTCTTGATGCTCACACACAGGGCTGAGAACCTGCAGGACTGAATCCCTGGTTTGGAAACACCTCAAGCAAGGGGTCCCTTACAGGCTTTCTGCAAGAATCTTGTGCTTTCTATGCCATTACTGAACTGAAACAAAATCCTAGTGCTTTAATCCAGAGGAGTATCCACTCGGATACCACCTGGGCCAAAGACTTACCAAAGGGCCAGGCAGGAACTAAGCTCTGGCCCTGGCTGGTGGCACCAGTGTAAGGCCAACGCAGCAGGAGCAAGATCCTTGGAGCGCTGATCTGCTGCCCTCCACTGTATACTGTGGACATTGGAGAAAAAAACAGAAAGAGCAGGACTTGCTGCCCAGTACACTCACGGTGGCCTCGCCGCCCTCCCCAGCAGAACCGCTGCTGGTGCTGAGGCAGTACCGCCCGTCCTGGCTCACGTCACAGCACGTCTGAATGTGCTGCTTGGCTGGAAAGGTGTGTGCCACCTGCAGCCCTCGGCTGTCCCAGACCCTGGAAGGAACAGGAGTGGGGAAGGGGGACTCTGACGCATCTCTGCCATGACCAGTTTCCCTCTGTGCCCTCCCGTAGACCCTCGCTGCGTCCTGACGCTTTGCCCTTGCGACTGTCCCTCATGGGGCTGTCCCCCCCTTCCTCCCAGCAAGCTGAACTCCCAAAGCTCTTGCTGCATCCTTGCATGTATGTATCCTGGACCAATCGTGCTGAGCTTGTTTTTCTAAAAATAAATTCTCCTTTTTATACACAGTCACCACCCTGTGCTGCCTACAGCCATGGGTGTCCCCATACTGTCCTTCCCTGGCAAGAGACCCCGCTCCAAGACCCAGGTGAGCTGGAAGGTGGCTTCTAGCCACCCCAGCTGGTACGGGAGACCAGGTGGTCATGACAAACAACCAGAGAAACAGGCCCCTGTGCACTGGCATCCTCCATAATCCCCATGTGCCCCAGGCCATAACTCCCTTCTCTGTAGCCACCTGTAGAATTTACCTGACTGTTTTATCCTCTGAGGTCTGGATGATGTACGGCTCCCCAGGAACCCAGCACAGATGTGTGACCTGCCGAGAGGAAAGGAGGAGCAGAAGCCCACCTCTGCCTGCAGCCCAGGCTGGTGTCTGCCTGTACATACACAGCTCACATCCTCTCCCCCCTCCTGCTCAGCTGTGAGTGGGAAACATTGGCCAAAGTTTTTTTCATCTTCCCACCAATGCTTCTCCTCTACCAGGTTCAATCCCAGTGTGGTTACTGGGGGTTATTTGCAGGCAGGGGGGTGCCAACAGCTCAACAGGACACAGCCATGGGAATAGGGGTACCATGGGCACCAGAAGATAGCACCCATATCAGCTCCACTGTTGGGCTGGTACCGGAGAGAATACAGCCCCCACTGCACAATGTGCTTCCTGAAAGCTCTGAGTTAGAGCATTAATAAATTGCTGTAAGTCTCTTGGTACCTCCTCGAGTTGTTACCTGGAGAATGGAGTAACCAGCCTCAAGCTTTGGTCTCCCCAGGTGCACAGGCCACCTGTGCAGCGCCTCAAGGGCTTTTTGTAGCACCAAGAGAAAATTCACTCTACACAGCTTCATGTGTGAAAAAAACAACTAGACAGCGAGGTACCAAGATAGGGTGCAAGGAAATAGCAGCTCCTACCAGATTCCTGGAGATTGTGGCTCTGCCCAGACACTCTCCAGTCTCTGTGTCCCACTTGCACACGGTGTTGTCTCGTGAACCTGTGCACAGCTGGGAGCCATCTACAACCATGAGTTAACATAAAAAAATGTCAAGAAAAGTTGTTAGGAAATCCCTGGGGAATAGGAGCATGTTGTTCCTCACCTGGGCTCACAGCCAGACCAGTAACAACCAGGTCATGTCCTGGGAAGTGCTGGCTTGGCCCTGGAGTCCCATGAAGCTCCCACATCATCACCATCTTGTCCCGGGATGCGCTGAAGATTCTGTTTGAGTCAAGGGCACAGGTGACCTGCCAAGGACAAGCCCGTTGGCCTCCCCAGCCAGCCCAGCTCTGCGCAGGGACAGCACAACACTTCTGCTGTCATGTCAAAGCCCAAGACATGCAAAATGTGCAGGGAATGTCGGGCAGCTACTAGGGTGTGCGACCCGCTACCAGGACCCACGTCCTCTCGGAACCAGGGAGCTGGGTGGTGGATGGGTATTCTCAGAAACTATTAATCTTATGGGTAAAACTTCCTTAAAAACCCAAATGAGCCCAGGACACGGTTGCTTTGAGCACTGGGATGAATGAAGCCCCATTTGTGCCTCCAGTGCCCACAGCACAGGGGACCCACTGGGGCTGTCCCCACGCCATGCACACATGTACACACCCCTGCATGTCTGCGTGTTTGACTTTGTAATCAGGATGCCAGAAGGAAAATTAAAGCCCTGCTGTTCCCAGGCGTGGCTGATTTGTAGAATAATGATGAATCTAGAGGAATGAGACCTGAGGAAAAGTGAACAGCATGTCTGAATCAAAAGTGACCTTGTAATTCATCCTGTGTTTTTGCTACACAGTCTCTTGGAGGGGAAGGTAAGCACATGTCCAAGCCTCCTGGAGCCCTGTTTAGCCTGGATGCAACCACTCCATGCTGCTTTCCTGGACAGCAAAGTATTTGTTGGGACCTTGGGGAAAACCTAATACACACTGCTAACCCGGTCCCTCTTCCTGACGGAGCAAAGCGAGCCCTCTGTGGATGACAAACTGCCACTCCACCATTCCTGGTTCCCCAGTTTCTGACAGGTAACAGCATGGGAAACCCCAGTGCACGTGATAAGTTGTCACTCACCTTGGTGACCTCCCGCTCGTGCCCGATGAACCGCCACAGCACAGCCCCGGATCTCCAGCTGCGAACAGCCACGCTCTGCAGAGGGGCAGGGAGAGCCTGTCAGCAGCGGCAGCAGGAGAGCAGGCGAATGGGAGTTATGCACATTCCCGGTTACGTTATATCGAGATCCCGTACACAGTCCGAGCTTGGAGAGGAAATGGGTTCTTCTGGTTTTGAGCTCTTACAGCATATACAATTGTCTTTCAAGCCCATCCATTGCCTGTCCAGTGATCTAAGCTCTGGAGAGGTTAAAAAATTTGATTCAATGTGCTTCAGTGTGTGCCCTCACTCTAAGCTCATCTTTTCTTTCTAAATTCAGGAACTGACAAACTTGTTACCCTTCATGGAAATGTTTAAAGCTCATATTTAAACCTTATTTTCCTAACCTGTCAATACATTTTCCTGCCTGTGACTATGCTTTGTGCCCTGTGGCGAGGGGTACCTCACCTTATCCCTTCCTCCTGACACGCAGAGGTCTGGTTTGAGAGCAGCCACACAAGTGACAGCGTTGGCATGCACGGGGCTGTGCTGCTGAACGGCTCGAACGGGTCCTGTCTCTTCCACGGGGTCATCAGCCCTGGAGAATGACAACATCTGCCTTTAGAAAGCCAAAGAGATGCTGTGAATAGATAAATGCATCTCCTGGACTGGGTGAGATGGAGTAGACCTATTCCAAGTCTAGAGCTGCTAAATATTTAGATGTTTACTTACTTCATGCTGGTACAAAGAAGAAGAGAAATGTTGATCTTGCCTCTACTTCCACTAAGACCTTTCAGGCTCTGCTTTGCTCTGACACCAGCCTTGCCAAGCACATCATGTCCCCCCCATTGCCACCCTGTGCTCTCAGCTGATCTCCAGGTAGAGATCACCCACCTTGCTGCCAGATACCCAATTATTTCATCTTGCTGATAAAAGCTGATGTCTCTGAAGAGACAATGAAGAAGTCTGGGTATTTGGGCCAAACAGGCACCCCTGGAGCTGTTAGCCTTCGGAGATCTGCCTTAGCCATCACAGAGCACAACCACCAGCCATGTTTACATGGTTGGCTACATTCTGGATTTCAGTCCCCCAGAGAAGCTGAGCAGACTTGAGAAGCGAGGGTCAAAAATTAAACTCTCATTCATACATTCGATAACAAAACTAAAACCATGTGTTTGCTATATTCTCTGTTCATTTTCTGTTCTCTATTCACTCTCATAACTGGCTTATTAAAACATGATCATCTGTGGTTGTTTTACCTGTATTTGGAGGTGTGGAAGCTGATTTTACTCTGGAGTTTCCCCATAGCCCTGCTGACGAGCACGGCTCCCACTGTGGCCAGCCCCGGCGAGCATCACACCAACATCTCAGGCAGCTGCTGCTGGGACATGACCTGTGGGTGAGGAGACACAGAACCGCTGGAAATCCAGAGAGGTTTTTGCTTGTTACATATAAGGGATAAGGTGCTGATAACACGTTATCTACATCTTAGATTCATTTAGAATAAGAGGAGAAACCTCAGAGGAGGGGACATCTGGGGTCCCCTCATCAAACCTTTTGCTCAGAGCAGAGCCAGCATCAGAAGTGAGGTTACTGGGACCTTGCAGCTGAGCTTTAAAAATATCCAAGCTTGGTGAGGCCACAACAGAGATGAAGCTGCTGCCTATAATTCTTCTAGTGCCTTACGCCTCTTCTTACTCCAGTATCTGTTCTTGAGTTCCATGTTACCCGGAGATCCCAGTCTCTAGACTGGTGAATGCAAACACCTTCAGACTGAAGTTCATACAGCTGGCTGGTAGGACTGTATGTTTAGACCAAGATAACTGCAGTCACAGGCAGCCCTAATGTAACTGGACCAGCCTGACAATGTAAAGCTTGAAGTGGTCTTTCCATAGGCTGAGGAATAGTTTGGGAACAGCAGCTTCTATGTCCAAACTCCAATCCCCAGTCCAGGCTTGACAAGACCACCTCAATAACCCAGATGTATTCAGCAAAAAATACTTTCTGCCAGGCTGAGACCAGCCTGCCCCATCCCAGGGCATCCCTCACAAGTGACATCAGGACAGCCATTCCCTGCATGAGCTCCCATCGGGGGAGAAGCTACCCGTGGAGCAGGGCTCAGGCCGAGGCAGCATCTCTCCCTCTTACCCTCACAGGTCACAGACTGAGCAGAAACCAGTTTCAATGACAGCGAATTTCCACCTATAGTAATTGGCTTCCTCTTAGCTCAAGACATCCTAATTGGATTTAGCCTGTACTACCTGTGTTAGCATTCCTGTCGCCTGGGTCAGTAGTATTTTGCTAATAAAAATCAGAAAAAACCTCCCACCTGTCTGTTCCATCAAAGAAAAAAACCTGCTTCAAGGCTCTGCCCACAAAAACTTGAAAACCAAATACTGGAAGCACTAAGAGGGGCTGGGTTTCTACAAAACATTCCCTTTCTAATTTTACCCTGCCAGCCTTTGTGATTAGCAATTAGTAATACCCAGTTAATCTCCACCTGTTCTGTCCATGTTTGCATGTTCAAAAGCTGTGAAGAATGACACATCTCACTGTTGAGGGGCGGTGACAATTTGGCAATTCTTTCAATCAGACCGAGTGTTCAGATCGTTTCAATACATTAGGAACAAACAGGATTTTTCTTTGGCAATGGGAGAACTCCAGAAGTTGCTTCTCCTGCAAAAGCAGATTCTAGGAAAAAGCTAAGATGTAAATTCTGATTTTTTAATTACGATTAGTCCATTTCCCAACCAGCAGTGAGTTTCCCCACTCATGCGGTTACTGTGCAATTGTCTCTGCCTGCACACCGGCTCAAACCGACCTGGATCAAGGCTGACGGCGACCGCGGGAGGCTGCAGGGAGAGCGGGAGGTCTGTCCTCTGCCTAACTGCGCTCTCCTGCCTCTTGCCCACTGCCAGATTCTTCTGAATCCTGAACAAGAACAATAGCTGCTGGGGCAAGATGTTCATGTGAGGCCTGGCAGGTTTCCCTGCGCAGTTTACTGGGAGCCTGGTCCATCCCAGGGCTCTCGGAGCACCGGGATCCCGCAGCCACTGGTCCTCACAAAGCTGCACCCCCCGAAGACTGAATTTCACGCTGGAGTCTCTCCTGTTCTCCCTTGCCTCAAAATGCGTCGCTTAACAGAAATCCGAAGTATTTTTTTATTAAATTGTTTTTAAAAAATACCCCACGCTGCTGCCTAAGCCCGCTCAGGCACCGCAGCGAAATGTGTACCCGGGGATAAGGAAACGACAACACCCACAGCGGCGGGGACAGACACCCCGGCAGCCTGTCTCCCCCTTTTCCCGGGGCGTCAAACACCCCTCAGAGGAGGGGGGTTGAGCCGCCTCCGGGGAGGCCGCCGGGGCATCCCGGGTGCCCGCAGCGCGGGGAGCCCCGCC